GCGACCGGCAGCAGGGGCAGCAACGTCAACAGCAGGACGGCGACGCCGCCGCCGGCTGTCGCGACGGAGGCACGAGATCCGGGCGGCGCCCTCCGGAACCTCATGGCGAGGGATGGCGGCGGTGACGGCGTCGCGACGGTGGTCATCCCAGCCAAAGACGACTCCCTCATCGTTATGCGCAGCGCCGGCAGCCGCTGGAAGTGGGGATCTTGAATGTGCAGATGAGGGTGATGTCTGAAAGCGCTGTTGGGCCGCTGGCGGGGTCACGCGCTGCACGTCGATCTCCGGACGGGCGGATCGCTCTTCGCGGTGATGTCGTTGCTGCGTCACCGGCGACGTGAAGTTGCGATCATGGACGTTGCAAATGCCTTAAAGGAGAATGCTCTCGCGCGGCCAACCTCTGCCGCAAAGTAGGAAGGCGCTCCAAGGATGCGCCCAGTCCAATGAGCAGAGTCCAGTGGCACTTATCTACCATTCAGGGCTAGTAAAAACCTTTTGGCTCCACATGGCGTCTCGATTTGCTGCTTGCGCGTTCCGATTAGTTCGAAGTCATGTTGCCTCGGAGTTTGGTGGCTTACTTGATTGATATTTTGTTCATTTGGCTTGCTCCAGTGCAAGGGCGACCCAGCAAGATCCAACACTTAGCAATCCGCTCTGTCCTTCTCAATGCCCTTTGACAACATTCACATGTCCGGTTGGTGGCCCGCTTTTTCCGTTTGATACAGACAATGGTTGCTCGATGGCTACTTGACGGCTACTTGATGGCTACTGAATGGCTATTTGATGGCTTCTTGATGACTACTTGATGGCTACTTAATGTAGAGGTGCCACCTAACCCACCTGATCCACCTCGCTCACTATCTATTCCAGCTGGTCCACCTGCCCAGTCCTCTGCGTCTACCAGCCCACGCTGTCCGCCGGTACTGACAGCCGCCGACTGTCAGGCACCGCCTCGCCGCACCGGCGCATTGGACGTGGCGTCTGCCTTTTGTGGCCGTCAGCTGTTGTGGCGCGAGAACGTGCGCAGATGGCGCCAACGGGCACGCGACAACGACCAAAGAAATAGGTGTGCGGCGGGCTAGTCTTAAAAGGCGCCGGAACTATTACGGCGAATAGGGGAGGTAGTAAGTTGCTGGACGTTCAACAGCTGAGCTGCGATGTGTATCTCAGCATTGCACTGAGCTTTGTGTATCGAGGACTGCTGTCACCCAGACCATGACACACGTTTCTTAGCTGCATGCAACGTAGCGATAGTGGGGCTTTGTAAATCTGTGGAGAGGCCTTGCTCTCCCCCCACACCCCCATTCGTCTCGGCTTTTAGGTATGCAGAGTAGATTATGTGCATTCTACACGTTATTTCATGCCAAATTATGAAGGACATGCACAGTTTGCACAACCCAAAGCACCAATATCTCGCAAAAACAAATACTAAGGTTTAAAAATTGTCCACATTGTGCACACTTCTGCTTTTTGGCCGGTGCATAACGTTAGTAATTTGTACTCAGAAATGAAAGCATGAGAAGTAAATGTCTTCATTGAATCTCAAAACACACAGGCTCAGAATCTTGAAAAAGGCAAGCGAAGTGATGTTTTTAGCATACGGTCATAGGCATACATAAGGTCTCTGCCATGATTGTAGGCCTTGAGCAATAAGAGCAAATGTGATCAACTGCATGCAAATGATAACAAATAAGGCATTGAAGACGAGCCAAAATGAACAGCATGTCTTCAACCTCAAACCATTTAAGGGCGTTTTCACTTGTTTCAACGGTAGTTATTGGCATGCAATTGGTCATCTTGCTTCCTATCACGAAGTAAAGTTTCCGGAAAGAGTATCTGTCCATGGGAAAATAAGATAGTGCGTATTCTCGTGGCGACTGGTGACGCTGCCCCATCGTTCATCTCAGCAACGACAAATGCTTGAACACAAACCTTCCTCGGCACTGTCATCAAAGCCACAACACATTGAGAGCCACGCGACGTGACTAGAGACACTTCATGAGTCCGAGAGGCACTGAGCTGGCAGCAATCGATTTTCAATGCACCAGGATCTTCCGCCAGTTTTGTCACGTGGGGTGCGCATGGCAAACATATACAACCGTGGGCAGCAGGCGCGGCGGGGGCGGAGACAAAGAGACAAAAAAGAGGCAGGGGGCGCGGCGGGGGCGGAGACAAAGAGACAAAAAAGAGGCGGGGGCGTGGCAAGGCAGCCGACAGGCCTAAACAGGAGTATGTTATCATTATTTTTGTGGACATCGGCTGACACAGGATCACAAGGTCCCAGGACTAGCCAAATGTACCGGTAACATGTTCGTGCTCAACTCATTGATGAGCAGGATGAGACGACGAGGCCGCATTATTTATGGTCCGTTTGTCCACAACACGCTAATTGAAAAGACCATAGGCACGGTAAAATGTTTTACGAAGCCTGCAGGACGTGCCATGTTTTGTTGCTGTGTTTGATTGTTGTTGTTTCTTTTCATTTGCGTTTGTGCGTTCGCTGTTGTGTCTAGTTCTTTTCGTTTGTCTTGCTCACTACGGGAACACTCCTCACCGGTGAATATGAACGAGGACGATAGAGGAGCGGTGATGGGGTGTACGGCAGGCTGATGTTTAGCAATGATATTTTTAGCATTCAGCATTTAGAATGATATGTGCTTAGCATTGAATGTCGGTCACGCTTAGACCATTGTAAGTAAACTTCAGAATACTCCGCAGCTAAGAAACAGCCTAGCGGCTCTCCGCCGAGGAGATTTAACTGTTGAACAGGGGCCGGTGTTAGCTGTTAGTGGCGCAGCCAGGAGTTCGGCTAGGAGGGGCCAAATCGGGATATTTAAGACTGCTTCACTTTAGATTCCTTTCTTTATCGCTTGTGGGATCTGTTTCCTTATGTTTTTTATGCGCATATGCTTTTATGCTTCAGAACCCCTACGAGCTTTTCACGCCGCCAAAGACGATCCCAGCGCAAAAGGCTGATCACAAGCATTACAAGCCCAAGCTGATGCTAATGCCACTTTTGGTCAACGTTCGCAAGCACCGGATATACTGTCCTGCGCTTTCCCCTCTGTTTCCCTAACATTGCTTCTGCCGGCCAACAAGACAGCAATAAGCTTCACCGCTGAGGCATCGCTGCGTTCCGATGTTTCAGCTCCCATTCATGCGCACGCCCAGTGAAATGAATTATTTAGTGGACACGCCTTTGTAGAGTGCGCCGTTCACTGGTACGTGGCCTCCTGGTTTATGCAGAAGTTTTCCCGCACTCAACACCCGAGGCTATTGTACGATGGGCCATCTATCATCCTGTCCTAGATGACAAATGCCACGCTTTTGCCACGCCGGCGGCCAGCCAAAAGCGCTGGCGGCGGCGGCGACGGCCAGCCAAAATCTGGCCGGAAATTTGGCCGGAAATTTGGCCGGCGGCGGCCAGCCAAAAGCGTCTGACCGTGTCCGCTCTGATGCACTCTGGCATTCACGATGCACGGTGGGATGTGTGCCGTGGCATTGTAGGAAGTCCTAGTACAGTACCGGAGGACGCTTTTTTGGCGGTTATTTTTCTTCGTGTACAACTTTCCTGGCCATTCGCTGCTCACACGGATGCGGAAAAGCTTGGCCAGAGATTAGGTTTACGGAACTGGAAAGGATAGCACATTTCAGTTTTCAGACCCGGTTATAAGAAGTCCAAAAAATGACGATTGGATGTCGCTGTATGACACAATTGGCGCATAGCGCCGGGCCGTAGTTCAATGAAGCTTCATCCTCCTCACCCTCTGTGTTGAGTCATACCCTTCCCCTCCCCATCCCCTCCGTTGTGGCCAGCTTCGACACAGGCCACATAACAGGTCATCTGTGCGGGCGGAGAAAGTCCAAAAACGGGTCATTATTTCCCCCAAGCTATATAGAGACGTTCTATCTCTCGTTTTGCGCGAAACCGCGCCGTACTGCTATCGTTAGAAAACGGACGCATTATTACGGGGTTTGAAAACAACGAGAATGATATCCTAGAAAAAGCACACCTACGCAGACCCACTGGGAGCTTGTCTAAATCCGAGTAACGTTAAAGAGAGTGTTCCGCATTGACGTGGGGCTCTGAACTGAAACAGCCATCCTGAGGACTTTTTAGTGCTGTTCACAATCCTGCCTGTCTAAGACCTAAGCTCCTCTAGTTTTTTAGCTCTACGCCCGCCAAAATGGGGAACGGCATACTGGGGAGAGTATTTCAAAGTCACCCAGACATTCATGACGTTGTAATAACGTCATTCAGATCCTGCCATTCCATATGCCATGCAGTGTTCACAGTAAAAAAAATTGTCGGGGCGCTCATATCTGGCGTTCATGAGCGCGATTTTCAGATATAACGGCCATCAACTGGCTCTCAATCAATGTTGTGCAAGGTACAATGATGTAATCAAACCGTGACGCATAGAGGAGCATATTTACTGAACAGACAATTCCGGGGTCTAGAGCGGTCTTTTCCGCTTAAAAAGCATGCAAGTACTTATTAGTGAGTTTGTTTCATTATATCTGCACTAGTAGCTATAAAGCATACCAGTAGTTACAAGTGAGCTTGTTTCATCAGATCTGACGCTTGATTCAATGTCTTCAAATGTTAAACATTCCCTTTGACATTCCTGTTGGCGGCTGGCCGTTTTCTTTTGAACTTAAATGGAATTAAAATCCATCGGATCTCAGACAGAATTAAGTTTTGGAAAATGTCATTTGCAACACCAAAACGTCATTTTATCTCGTCTTATCTCTTGCACATCAAGCACCATCGCTTGATTCAGCCCGAGCAGCCCATAAGCAATAAACATTGGTGCGACCTTGAAATCTGACCTTGACCTCTAAAAAAGATATCTGACTCAGTTCCCTCCGACCTCAAGCAAGTGAAATGCAACGCCACGGCGAATGATAACAGCAAAAACATCGTTGAAAATTGCATGCGAATGATGTAAATTTCCCTCGAGTAGCTTTGACACAGGGACATGGCCTTGGTAGCTTACCTTGACCCAGTTTCCTTCCGGCATCTGAAAGGTGACATGTTGGTTTGACATGTCGATGTACTGGTGTATGTGGTCTACCGGTCCCGACACCCCATGGTTCGACTTGTCGAAGAAGAGTCCCTGTTGAACAAAAGAGAGAGGGTACAGTTAATGCTTATGGACGCCATGGCTGACGACATCTGTCCCGTGTCGCGCCCTTATGGCCGCCAGGGCTGACAATATCTGTCCCGTGTCGCGCCCTTATGGCCGCCAGGGCTGACAATATCTGTCCCGTGTCGCGCTCTTATGGACGCCATGGCTGACGACATCTGTCCCGTGTCGCGCTCTTATGGACGCCATGGCTGACGACATCTGTCCCGTGTCGCGCCCTTATGGCCGCCAGGGCTGACAATATCTGTCCCGTGTCGCGCCCTTATGGCCGCCAGGGCTGACAATATCTGTCCCGTGTCGCGCCCTTATGGCCGCCAGGGCTGACAATATCTGTCCCGTGTCGCGCCCTTATGGCCGCCAGGGCTGACAATATCTGTCCCGTGTCGCGCTCTTATGGCCGCCAGGGCTGACAATATCTGTCCCGTGTCGCGCTCTTATGGACGCCATGGCTGACAATATCTGTCCCGTGTCGCGCTCTTATGGCCGCCAGGGCTGACAATATCTGTCCCGTGTCGCGCCCTTATGGCCGCCAGGGCTGACAATATCTGTCCCGTGTCGCGCTCTTATGGCCGCCAGGGCTGACAATATCTGTCCCGTGTCGCGCTCTTATGGCCGCCAGGGCTGACAATATCTGTCCCGTGTCGCGCTCTTATGGCCGCCAGGGCTGACAATATCTGTCCCGTGTCGCGCCCTTATGGCCGCCAGGGCTGACAATATCTGTCCCGTGTCGCGCCCTTATGGCCGCCAGGGCTGACAATATCTGTCCCGTGTCGCGCTCTTATGGCCGCCAGGGCTGACAATATCTGTCCCGTGTCGCGCTCTTATGGACGCCATGGCTGACGATACCTGTCCCTTGTCACCCCCTAGGCTAGCAGGTGCTGAGCGCACCTGATACGAATGAATGAAGAAGGGGAAGTCCGTAATACCAATGAAGTAATGCGTAGAATGAGTGAACGCAGCCGAACGAGCAGTTACTATCCTAATTAATGCATGCATCACCTTACTTACCTATCTTTTGCGTTTTTTCAAGCGATACATTGAAACACCAGTCACCGATTGTGTTCTTTAGACGCTGACTTGCTGTAAAGAAACCCCGATTTTCGAGTGCGCCTTTTGCACAGAGCAAAAACTTGGCACGAGTTTGCGACAACACGGTATGTCACCGTGTTTAGTGATCGCCACTTTATACATTTTTGTCTCGTGAAGAGGAGCCAGAGAGATGTTTTCCAGTTGGTAGCACAGGCCGAAGCGCAGCAGGTGACTGTGACACGTTCGTCACGGGTCTCAGGCTCTGGGTGCGGGACTGGCAGTGCAGAGCAGCGCAGAAGGCGACTACAATGGTGTCGGCACGCCTCGTTCGACCCAGGGCTGTATGACCATTGTTCAGCCGCGACTCGCTTGTCAGGTCCTATGGAGCCTTAGCAACTGAGGCCAGACATTTTTCAGCACAAGACGCTCTTTGCACATGCTAAATGAACCGAGCACTGCCTCCTTGGGTTACAACATGGACACTATGGTAAATGTTCGGCGCGCTATGAACGCTCTCGCAATACTTCAAATGACATGGGCATCGAGCGCAGTGTAAAAGACATGGACCACATCAGACTTCATTTGGCCGGCTACTGCGTGCTCTCCACCATGTCACAGTACTCACATGGGCCATGTCGTACTGCTTGTGACCGATGATCTGCGTGCTTTCCACCATGTTGTTTCCTGGCCCGGAAGCGATGCACGTCTCCACGCGGCCCCCGCACGTGCTCGTGTCCGCGTCGCAAGGCAGACCTGCGACACGTGGCCGCGGACTCGGATCAGTCACGTGCGCAGCTGGTCATCTTGGAGAATGCAAGCAATGATGTTTGGGCTATCGGACGACGTAACAGTATCGCACCTAGTCAGATTTGAACCCGCCAGTCGCCGCCCGATGGAGGGCGATCGCTCAACTGACTCGGCCAGCCTCCGCACAGTTAAGGTGAGGAACTGCTTTCGGAGTGGTGCGTTAATCTGGCAAGAGAATGTGGTGGCAGGACTGGATGCATTGACGCGTGTAGGAAAATGCATTTGGGCCTGGCGTTGTATCTTTGATGTGATGGGTGCGCTTGTCGTGGACTTTGTGATCGGCGCGCTTGCACCATTCCCATTGTAATTGAGGCTTGGGCTACAAAGAAGGTATGCTGTTTTGCGTGATCCCGACCACGGTAGCGCAAAGGGAAAAGACACTCGCACTATCCACAAATGTCAGATATCCATCGATCCAAGCAAGCTGCAAAAAGTCACGCACGAATTCCAAGACCACACGTAGCTTCCAGAATATTCAAGAATATTCTAGCTCCTCTCTCGCTGGTGCCTGCAAAAAAGCTCGTTAGCCATGGCACATGTGCAGACCTGTGTCGATGCACTTGGCTCCCCGCGTGTTCGGCGAAACGTCTCCCAGATTGGAGGAGCCGAACGCAGCCACAAACGGTCCCGTGCCAGGCAGCGCCCCGCCATTCATCATTGACTCGAACATCTGTCAGAGAGTGTACGGCGGCGCGTCAGTGCGCAGAAGCTCTCAGATACAGCGCCCGCCACCTAGCGGCGACCTCACACATTGTCTGCAGGAGCACTGGCATAAGGCGCACGGCGGCGCAAACGTAAACGGGTCAGAGCGCTGAGTATTTGAAAGCCCAGCGGCATCGACGCGTTTTTTAAACGTAAGGGAATGCGACGCACCCCGCTGTCTCAGTGAAGTGACTGCAGAGGTCATTGAAACGTTCGGAGGTATGCCACCACCAGGATTCGAAGCCAGATCTCCCACGTATGAGCGGAAGGTGCTGACAACTCGGCTACCACGCCCCAAAACGACGCTCGTCAGCTGCAGTGATGCTAAAACAATGCACCGTGTCATAACACATCATTATTATTGGTTGAGTAGTCTGCAAACTGGGTGAATAACCCCAATAGCACCATCAAATTCACGAACAGCCTGCAAGGGTGTGTTTTACTGCGGCATAAAACCACGCGCCAAAAACACGTCGGTGTACAAAAGCGCACGGAGACACCCGGATGCCATTCCTTAATCAGCGAACGCGGGCGAATTTCATGGTTCCTACCGGGCAGCAAAAGCGTGTGTTTGCCATAAAACCGATGCAGACTCTACGTACATAGTGGCATCATCACAGGGCGACTTATTCGTAGATTCACTCTCCAGTGGTTAGAAGGATAATTTGTCTGCGCTGCGTTCGGTTTCACATATATTACTCTACCTGAACGTCAGACTGGCACTTTGAAGCGCTGGCGTTCAACAAATGCCCACTGGACACGATGGAGAATGACCAACTGATCACTATGAACATTCCGAACACTTCGGACTGCACCTGCTCCGCGTAGCCCTTGTTGTCTCCCGAGATGTACTGGTTTGTGTTGTTCATGCTGGTGCCATGAACAGCGAACCAGTTAATCAGACCTGTGAACCGATCACTGAGTATCACTGATCACCACTTTATTCTCTGATCCTCGTCCAAAAGCCGGCACAGCCAATGCAGCGCGAAAGAACGTGATCTCTAGGGCATTTGTCCTCCACACATATGGGGGTTTTGGTACCAAGCATTCTCAGGTAGTCACGGTCACTGTAATGGCCAGATCCAAAGACAGTGCAAGCAATAAATAAGCACAGAAATGCACGAGCAATGTAAATAAATGCCGCCATTGTGGCAGTATTTTCAACACCAGCTAAAAACATGTTCGAACAGTATCATGATTTAAATATAAATATCATGGCAATCATCGAAATAATGTATGGTGGTGCATTTCTCAACTGGGGCTGAAGCAGAAAATGGGCAACATATTTTCAGTTTTGTTTCTTACATGTCAACCTCATGATCATCGATGACGTAACAGAACATTGCATGACAACATTTGATGATGAGAGGTGAGAAGTGATATCTTTAGATAAAACTGTCGATTTCAAAGACTAGTTTTGGTCCACTTGTGACGTTTCACCATGAGTCTAGCGGTGCTCTGGCAAAGCAAGAGAAATGCAAGCCCTTTCCCCTCCATTTCGATGAATCTGCGTTCGTGTGGCAGTGTAATTATTTGACTCATACATTTGACTCTATACATTTGACTCTATACATCTGACTCTATACATTTGACTCTATACATTTGACTCTATACATTTGTAACCACGACAAACCGAGCTGTGGTCAAGTTACAGCCCATGGAATGTTGTGATGACTCTTGCTAAATTATGTTGGCCTGGAAGTTGTATAAGAGACGTCACATAAATAGAAACAAAATCGTCTCTCGGTTAATGCATGTTTTAAGTACGTTACATGTTATTGTTCATGCCAGAGCGATTGCGCAAGTTCCAGATAGTTCTTCTCAAAAACTGCGTTTATTCTGATACGATGTTAGCGTACATGTCACAACCTGCAGTGGGACATGACAGGCGGTAGCCGATGAGGCGGTGGCGAATCCACGAGGCGGTGACGAATCTGGCAGCCTCCAAGTCTTAAGCAACACTGGTCAGTTCCGGCCTTAAGGCCATCTATTTAATTTTATGACGATGACCAATAATTTCCCGTCAATGATTGCTCGTTCACATGATCACAAGCCAAGCCACTGCCTACCTTTCGGTGAGTCGTCGGCATTAAAGATCTTCAGCAGGAACATTTCTTTGTCGGTATCATACTCATACCTGAAAACAAAGGCATCAATGGCAACCGGACGGAGAATCCTGTGCACTCCTCCTCTTGCAACGGTGTCACTCAAATAAACTATGGTCACTCACCAGTTCACAAGCAACACCAAACCATGGTCGGTGGTCCACTCGCAGCCAGGTGCAGTGCTACGGAACAAGGGATGCGATGGTCTTCAATATCAATCAGATGACGTAGTTTTAAAGACAGAACATGCCGCAATGCTTTATTTTAAGCACTTGCATTCCGAATCAAACTGAAGGTTTGGGTTTGCTATATTCGAATATATCTAAATCTTTCCAATTCTCGAACCCGAAAACGACGACTCGAACCTTGAAAACAAGGATTGGAATAATAAAAATCACAATAAATCCTCAGCATGATGAATACTGACGGAAAAATTGGAATTCATTTCAATACATTTGAGCGTGTTCGATGTCGAATCCAAATCGGAATCCGAATCTAAACCCACCTCCCACAAGATTCTGAGCCCAAAATGGTGTGAATCCTCAGTTCTAGTTGTGAAACTTGGCGGGGGTTTGGATGGAAAGAACTGGATTTTATCTACTTTATCTAGATTCTGCAACTGAATTGCAGAATCTAGATAGCGCAGATAAAGTAGACAAACCTAGGATTGCGCTTAAAATACACTTTATCCAAAAGACGTTCAAAACGGAGGACCCGTACACTACGTCTGGCGTGGGGATGCGCGAGCGCCCACAGTGATATTTAAAAATTAAATCTCGTAATGAATGGCGTGCTTTCTCATTGATTCCATATGTTCAAAACGTGATAGACGTTGGTGCTTTACCATAGATAATTCTGAAGATAGTGATGGGTATTTTGGCAGACTTAGAACCGCCTGAGCCCTTACGGCAATCATTGGTGTGGGGCGCGCCCGATCACGGGCATTCCGGATCTCCAGGGATACGTTGATTTTGTTGAATCAAAACTTTTTTCCTTTATTAAGAAGTTGATACCATCGGCTCACATTGAACCAGCGCGGGGTTCGGCGCAGCAGAACCGTAGTTATTGTAGTAAGGAAGGAAGGTTCTTCTGTTTCGGTGACTTTGATGTCCCAGCGCAAAGTCGAAAGACACCTGGGGCCTCCGCAGATCCTAAGACGACAGGTATGCTAGGTATTGTTCTTTCAGCATTACACATCTTTCCACATTACGTCGCTAATAGATTTTCATTTCGTTAAGGTGGTTTTTGGATCTCGGGTTGAATTGCAAATAACTACATGTTTCGAAATGCTTCCCCGCTTGTGGCTCTTTGCCAGCTTCCTTCGCGTTCTTAATAATGCTTTCATCCGAACGGAGTGGCTACGTGCGTAATCACTGTGGCACAATCATTAGCCCACATCTTCAAATCAATAACTTATGGAAACAGCTAAGCCCGATGGCCTAACAAGCTAAAAGCGCTTCCTTTACGTTACCAACTTGTCCAATTGCGGGCGTGACTCATGGGGACTCGACAACTCATCCTAGCCTTGCGCTCAATATCCAGGGAGAAGCGACCGACGGTAATTCAAGCTTCGCTGGGGGCTTTGAACTGACTTAAATGCACTATGTGGACTTTTCAGGAGTTGTAGATCCAGCATACCAAGATGTGAGATGGAGTAATCCAGGCATCTGAGAGGCTACCCTGATGACAGAGCCTGTTCAGACGTCACATCCTAGTAAAGGATATATGAACATCAGTTATTGATTCGTTGGATGGAATATGCATGCAGGCATCATAAATATCATGCAGACATCATAAATTACAAATGTTCTACAGTTGTACCAAGCTTTGCATTTGGCCACGCTGACTGAAAAAGAGAAAAGGACCCTTAAGCCTGCAAAATTTGCCAATAGTTGTGCAGGAGCTGAAGAACCAACCACGTCGATGACTTAAATCCATGTGCCGCAGATGACTTGTGGACTAGATGACAATCCCGTGTACAAGAAAACGTTGAAAACTGTCTTTGAACCTCTTTGAAAATGTCATTCTATGCTACCAAAATATACTACTCCACGTTAAAGTACAACGCGGAAGGCGTAGTGCGCAGCATGCCAAAAGTTAACGAGTTGGGTGACAAAAGTCGATCCCTCCGCGACTCACAGGCAGGCGCGCAGCCAGAACCGTGTCAAGGGGGGCACGGGGCTAACAAAGGGCCCCCTGTTAGCAAAAGATCCCCGCAAAAACTCGCCGGATAGGTCCATTGGTTGACGATGACATGATACACACACATAAACATACATACATACATATATATATATATATATATATATATATATATATATATATATATATATATATATATGTGTGTGTGTGTGTGTGTGTGTGTGTGTGTGTGTGTGTGTGTGTGTGTGTGTGTGTGTGTGTGTGTGTGTGTGTGTGTGTGTGTGTGTGTGTGTGTGTGTGTGTGTGTGTGTGTGTGTGTGTGGTGTGTGTGTGTGTGTGTGTGTGTGTGTGTGTGTGTGTGTGTGTGTGTGTGTGTGTGTGTGTGTGTGTGTGTGTGTGTGTGTGTGTGTGTGTGTGTGTGTGTGTGTGTGTGTGTGTGTGTGTGTGTGTGTGTGTGTGTGTGTGTGTGTATGTGTGTGTGTGTGTGTGTGTGTTATAGGTTTTTGCCCTCCATAACTGGAATAGAAGCCAGACGATACAGCGGGATTAATTTTGCCCGCAGCCAATAAGCTAAAAGATCATATGTTAAGCGACTGCATGGAATAAATCGCTATCGCTCTTCATTTTAAGATGGTCCAGTGGACTCGTCTTAAACCCATAGAACTCAGAAACTTTGTTAGAATTTTTTCCTGTGTTGAACAGAGATATCAGGAACCCCACGATTTTAGACTGAAGATAAAAATGGCTGAACAATTTGCATTAACACAGTAGTAGTCAGCGGGCAAATGTACGAAGCTCTGCAGGACATTCTGCGTGATCAAAATTGACATTGCCTTCGAGGCCAACAGAAAAAGAGAGCGTTTGGAACGTTTCAAATAGACGAGTTTTAAATAGTAAAAAGCTAGTTCTACCCAATTGTAGGTATTCATGGAGCGTTGACTGGTCTCGCTAGTCGCGTTCTGTATGTCGGATATATATATATATAATAACCAGCAATCTCGGGTGACTAGGACAGCGATAACCCGGGTTGCGCTTTCCTTAAAACCGAGCGGCGTCGGCCATTGCAAGTTACGCCAAGCGGCGGGCAACGTGCGTGCAACGACGACCATCGTAAAACAATGTTTCCGAATGTATTTCAAAACGGATTCCTGCAGTTCAAAGAGCAGAAGGGGCAGATTGCTTTTACAACGTTGAGGCTGTCCTCTGGCCAGATAAACAGAGCAACACGAAAAATAGAGATTCTACCTTTATTGTTCCAGCTGCACCACCAGATTCCAGCACTACTACGAGGTCTTGTAAAGGCCATCCGTGATTACCATCATGCCATGATGTTATTACCATTATCATGCCACGATGGGCCTCGCGGCAGGTAGCTTCTTTTTACTGCGGACAAATTCCGGGATTTGCGTAGTGAATGGCTGTGCTGTTCTGTTCATGGTTGAGGAATATGCTCTGATCGCCGCAAGTAACCTGCAAGCAGTGTGACGCTGTCACGGCTTGTTTACTTAGTAGTTATTCATTTGTACTTCACGATGGTAGCACGATTTGTCTGTTTGACGGTGTTCGCTAACCTGTTTCACGATTTATACCTTGTTAGTCTCTTCGGAATTGGTCATAACCATTCACTTTATCAGATAACCACTCCGCTGCGCCTCATAAGGCGTTTCTACCGTCTCGTTCCGCGTGCACTACATCTGCGCGCAGTGGAACGCTCTGCAGTGCGCCCTCGCGAGATCGGGTGTCGCCCGCCTGCGCCCCGTGATTTAAATAGACTGACGCATACTGCGTAGCGTCAGACGAGGTCCGGCCACGACCAGGGTTGCGACCCTGCACTGTTTACTCAGTGCTAGCGAGTCCGACTATCGTGTGGCCAAATATAGATGACCTTCTATTTTCAATGGACAACGAGAAGAAGAACGAAGATCTACTAAGTGATGCGTTACAGCGATGTGTAACGATCACGCTACAGTTTTTACCTTAAAGAACAACGAGGGGAAGAACGCGGATCTACCAAGTGAAGCGTTACAGCAGTGTGTAACGATCACACCACAGTCCTTACTTAAATGGACAACGAGAAGAAGAACGCGGATCTACCAAGTGAAGCGTTACAGCAGTGTGTAACCATCACACTACAGTCTTCACTTTAATGGACAACGAGAAGAAGAACGCGGGTCTACCGGGTGAAGCGCTACAGCAGTGAAAAGCGATCACACTACAGTCCTTCCTTTAATATTAACGAAAAACAAGCATCAATGAGCCCGCATGAATGTGGGAACGCTAGTTGTGGAATCCCAGTAAAGTAACGTGTGCGACTCGGGATATTAGGACGAAAGCATCTTTTTCGAGAATACCTGTATATTCTCGGTGAGCCTATGCCTTCGTCGCCATTTGCAATGGCTGCCACCTTACCAGTTAATGACAGAGATTTACCTCCATCAGCAAGAATTACCGCGAACCAAAACTGGGGACAAGCGAATCAACAGTCCCCAGTACATGCAACGTATATGATTAATGTAAACAAGTATTCATCGGAGAGAGACGCACTTATCCCGAGGAGAGTTTCTGTTATACATCGATTATTGCTGCGCACAATAACTGTCTGCAAACAGAAGAGAAGGTAAAGAGGCCAAACAACCATGACAACGTTGTAGGCGAGTACGTAACTTTAAAAAAATGCAGGAATTTCACCTTGAGTTATCAAGCCATTCACGGCGCTTGCTCTCTTCATGGTAGTTTGGTTTGGGATTATCGTGATGGTCGCAGCCTTATCATGCAGGTGAAGAAATAGTTGTGCGTGGCTAAATTGCAGAGAATGAGGAGCATTTACTGCTCATTACGTAGACGGCATAATCAACTAGAATAGAACGAAACAAATGCGGAAATAATCCGCGAAACTCATAGCGGTAGTTTTACCTGTAGGGTATACTACACTTGGCCTACCCTTTCTATTGTCTGCATTGTCGTCGGATCACTTGCCCGTCCAACTCCACCCTCGATCAGAGTACGGGCGGAGGGCGACAACGCGGGAATGTGGAGGTGGACAGATATCACAGTGGAGCTAGACTATACCTTGCGATACGCCAGTGCTGGGGCCACTCACTTGTCCCGCTCCTCCTGCGGGTTGTAGAGGTAGGCAGTCGGCGAGCGGTTAATATTGGCGTCAAGCAGGTCGCCGCGGGTCCAGGTCATGTAGCCCGGCGACAGGTTGTTGTGCGCTCGTCGAATGCTCTGCAGGAGTCGGCAATGGTTACGGCACGTGGGTTAGGTGCCATGGTGTGAGGCTGCACATGACGTGATTGGGGTTAATAGGTGGTAACAGCCAGCGCCAGACGAAGTTAGCGGCTTTGTTACCTCATAGAAAATAACCCGTATTTAATGCTCTACTTACCCTCCCACAACTGAATTCAATGCTCTTGCCTGACCCGCAAGGAAACGGCTGACTTTTGTGCACATATGTCTATGGGTATTCTCGTGGTGACATCCCCACCAGCGGATATAACGGCTCTTTTCTGGAGATGCTTGTTTTTGTGCATCACCACACGGAACATGTGCAGATGTTTACGTACATTGGAATGTTCACGACACAACCAACCCCGTGCGTGCACACCCATGACTCTTAGTAGGCATTTGCACTGGTTAGGCTAATCCTTCCATCACAGCCGCAATTTCGTAAACTGGGTTTGGGTTGAGCAGTGAAAAATGACACAAGCTACCTCCAAAATACGCCAACAAACGTGTTTTCCCACGGATTTGGCCCACCTTCCTCTCAAAGTTGGGGGATGTACAGCCTAGATGGAAGGATGCAGTCCCCCCAACTGAATATAAAATTACACCCGTGCTCTCCATGAGCATTCTGCACACGCCCTGCCTCACCTCCACTATACCGGCCACCTGAGCGTCGAACGTCTCCTGAATCCAGCCCAGATTGGTGATCTGGAAGAGCACGTACTCCAGGAAGCCTGCCGGACCACTGTGGGTGTGCGTCGCAGACAGCAGTATGTTTTCTGCCCCATAGATGTCGCCAAACTCAGCCTTCAGCCGCTTTGCCACCTGGAGGACAGCCGGGCGATGCTCAGCAACGGAGAAGGAACAATCTCAACGACGAAAGTTGTCATCATATGACAGGGCCTCAATGCATTTAAAATGCAGCGTTCGAGCTTAAATGTTGATATTGACTGATGTTTCTCGTACCCAGCTAACCAACGTCTCTGTCCGGAAAAGTGATACTTCGTGATCGTGAAACACAGCAAAACTCCATCGTCATCGGTCTTGCAGAGCAAAGGCGCAAATAAGAGGATGGAAAAAGGGCTTGGGCCTCTCGGTAAGCAAACGCATGACACCAGGAGGCGATGAAAAACGAGAAACGAGATCGCCATCGAGGCGCTTAATCCACGCTGATTTTCGGAGCACACAACGCCGAACACCGGATGCCCGGGCAACAACAAGGCGACGTTTTGAGGGTGCGCGGCAGGTGCTCCCTATCGAGGCACAAGTGGCAGCTCCTATCGGAGCATCGTCAAGATGGGGCCATCTGTTCACGAGACTTCTTCGTCCGCTGGGCACAGCTCGACAAAAGTTAACCACCTCCTCACCTAACGCGACACGCGAGTCCTCACGCGGGGAAGTAATACACTACAAGTTCGAGTCATGCCGCTACGTGACGCTGCGACCGCGCCACGCAGCTATAATGGGATTTGGAACAAGCCGACTCCGCGGGCTCCAGCTCAGAGAAACTGAACACCACAAGCGACGGCGGCGCGCAGCGGGCGGAGGCGCAGTGACTGTGGTGGTGACGTCGGAGGAGGAGGTGCACTCGTGACGTCGTGCCAGGCAGGAGCCCGAGAACCGGCGAGCTGAGAACTTCTCGGCCATCAGGTACGTTGGGGGAGCATGGCGGACGTCGCCGAGGGCACCCGGGCCCTCGGGGTTCGACCTTGTGTCATGTTGTGATGGTCGGGTGACTCATAAGGCGGTGACGTCCGCCACTCGTTCGGTAGCTGCAGAGCGCCGGGGTGAGACTGTGTCGTCAGGAGGCAACACACCCAGTCATCACAGCCAGGAGGTGTTTGTCTTGGCGCCATCTGGGATAAGGGCGCAGGCCTGGGCTGTGCAAGGTTATTTTGTGAGCTTGTCGCGACGCTGACAAAAATAATTTGAGTCAACACGTCATAACACGACGCCGTTTTTGGATGAGGTGCGGGCTTGTGGCATGTCGGGCCGTGCGTGCAACAAATTACCATTCCACCTACCGAGTGCTCTCTGCTGCATCTCCATTCCCAATATGCACTTTTAATCCAAACACAGTGTTCGGGAAGATTATTTGAAGTACGCCAGGTTGGACTGTGATTGACCAGCACGTTGGATCTTCTGCGTAGCCAAGGAGCGGGCGAAGGTCCGGTCTACCCCGTGGACCCGAATGTTTTTATTCATCACTGTAGGTGACTGCGAAGCGTGGTGAATTCTCCCTGAGCTCCTCTCTCCTCAAGACATCGTAGTTGCGATCCTACATTCGAGCCAGACAGCAAAGTGGCGCGTGGCGCTGATCCCCCTGCCTCGAGGAGCCGAGGCCGGCCTGTTCCCGGGTGATGCCACCGCCGGCTGCCCCGTCGCGCGCGCGCCGGCGGACCGTCCCGTGGGACCCGTCTTCGACGCTGAATCTAGGTTAGTGCCGCGCTGGACGGGCGGAGTCGCGCCTCCGGGGACTGGCTCGGAGTGCTCCGCCCGGCGTCCGGTGCACGTCCGTCATCTGGCTGACGACATCGCTCTCAGACAGGCGGCTCCTTGACCGAGCTATGCGCGACTGTCGAGTCGGCATCACGGGCCCCTCGCCACTGTGGGCGAGGTCTTTCCTTGGTTACGTCGGGGCTTTCCGTAGACTTCGCAGGCAGCAAACACTTGCCGCGCCGCGGAAAGGCTGGTGCTGGTGCTGGTGCTGCGCCGATCGAAGCCGGTGACGCGCTGGGCGTGCGACGCTGGTGTTGCACTGAGGTCCTCGGTAAATATTTGCACTGCCGGACGCAGATCGCGGAGACGGACCTTTGCACGGCTGAAAACTTGGCGCCCGAGTTCAAGCGGACCGTTCCGCGGGGTTGTTGCTTGAGCCGCGCCGACACACGGAAGTCACGGATTAAGCAGCGAGCGACCACACCGGCGAGCGACGGCGACCGCAAACCGAGCTAGTCCGCCTTCGCGGCCCGGTGGCCGCGGGGCCCGTGCTGATCGCGCACGACCAAGGTCATGTCGCTGGGAGGGCCGTACTATTACTGGCATCTACCCGTGGCTCATTGATCGCGGGATCCCATGGCGCCGCAGCCGAGTCATCCGCGTGGTAACCCACTTCCCGGCCCAGCGACTGCAAACGGCAAATATCGGCGCACGAGGGCGCGGCGCTGCGATAGCTTAGCAACGCCGGGTGGCGAGCGTCACTCGCCTGATAACGAACGTCCGTGATGGTAACCAGGCCCACGGTATGGTTGACTGCTTTGGAAAGTCCTCACCGGCATTTTTGACTCATTCGTCCGCGCTAAAACCTCAGAGTGTCAGCACGTCATCAGCCTAAAGTCGAAGACTGGTTCGTCATTGTCAACTCCGGTGACATCTCTCCGCGAAGGATTCCGTTCAGCCTCTGCTGAATCAAATTGTCACATTCAGTCGACGCAACGACTTCGCTCGTGTTATGACAATGATGCACCTCGTCTCTGCAGTGTAAACACCGTCTGTTCGAAGCATTGGTGCCTCGACGTGCTACCGCATGCAGCGCTTACCACCGAGAGCCGTGCGACCATACCATGCGACGCCCCTATCCGTCCACACTGCACATCCCGGATGGTCTACCGCAAGGGTGAGCGATCGCCCCCATTTATTCTGCGCAGGCGCCGGCGGGTCTGCAGACGGCCTGCGCGGCCGCCCCGTCTTTTCGACGTCACAAAGGCGAACGACTCGCACCGCAGATCAGACGGGACGCAGCCGTAAATGGGGAAGGGCGGACCCGAGATGCCGTCCCGGCAAAAAAGACGGGAGTTAATGAGGGCGTCGGGGCGGGCTAATGTCACGGAGGAGTGCCGTCGGCGCCCGTCTGTGGGCGGAAGGCAACGCTATGTTGGGTGACTGCGGAAACTTTTTCGTCGCGATATCCCCCTCTGCAGCTGCATTCCCCCGGATATCTGGTCACAGTTGAAAATCAATGTTTTGTCATCAGGCATCATCACTTTATCTACCCCACCACGACATTCTGTAATAACATTACTGGCCCTAAATGTTGTTGTTATATTACTGTAAGCTCCACTTCACTTCACTCTATCTTGTATCAATCTTAAGTTAATTTTACTTCATCGTTGTGTTACTTTGATCTTATTTCACTCTGAGCTCTACTCTACTTAACTCTAATATTATATCTTTGTAAATATAATATTACTAAGGCCCCTCGTAGTTCTCCACCGCTTCAGAAGATTCCGACCGTTTTCCTGCCAGCTCCGCCAGTGAGACCGAACACAGGCGTTCTCACTGCGTCCTCCCTCTCCCCTCGTCCTCGTTCTCTCATTCCGCCGCCACGGTCGGCCAGTATTTGGGCCCGGACGCGTTGCAGGCCCATCCCATCTCACACATCATGAGGCGTGACGTCATGCATCAGGATCGCTGGGCATCGCCCCAGGCGGCGCCGCCCCGAGCAGCTGGGGAGGAGCGTCTGCTAGCCATCCGCCCGGGGCAGCGACCGGAGCTGTTTTGCACCTCCCCCCCCCCCGCCCCCGCCTGGCGCAGGGTTGCATCAGCCGACGCGGCGGCCAGGCTACTTCCGGGACCGAGGGGAGGGGAGGGTCGCTGCGTCGGACGCAGATGGCCCCGGAGGGCTTTTCGGGCGGGAACGGCTCCAGCGACAATCTCTGGAGGATCGGTGTGTAGGTGGTAATGATTGGTTGATCGATGACGTGTCTCAGCTTCAAGGTCAGACAGACCCAGGCAGAAGATGCTCTGGCGCAAAAATGGAAGCCTCTTCAGTTACGGTCGCACCCTGCGAGGTCTCCCAGACCTGCGCTATGATACGTTATTTTGCTGTTCCGCACCAAGAACCACGCAAAAAGCATTAGAATCCTGGATCCGCCCCTGGCGCAGCGTCGCTGTGGGAGCGTACCCAAAACTGAGGCCGGACGCTGCGCGGAACACGTCTTCATTCCTGCGCGTTAGGGCGCGCTGACGTCGCCGTGCGACCGTCGGGCGATCGCCGTACGACCGTCAGGCGATCGCCGTACGACCGTCGGGCGATCGCCGTGCGACCGTCGGGCGATCGCCGTACGACCGTCGGGCGATCGCCGTGCGACCGTCAGGCGATCGCCGTACGACCGTCAGGCGATCGCCGTACGACCGTCGGGCGATCGCCGTACGACCGTCGGGCGATCGCCGTACGACCGTCAGGCGATCGCCGTACGACCGTCGGGCGATCGCCGTACGACCGTCGGGCGATCGCCGTGCGACCGTCAGGCGAGGGCCCAGGACAAGACACAAAAATCGTGACTGAACACAACAGCACATAAGATAGGACAGCCACAGGACGTAACATAACAATCACAACTTAACAACACAACAAACATAACGACCGCGCATGACAACATAATCACATGCAATAACGTAACAGTAAACCTGACCGTAGCATAACATAACCACATGACATAGCATAACATAACAACAGGACACAACACAACGTAGCAGAATCCCAACCCACATCGGCATGACTTGAGCACCTGGGTGCATATTTAATGGGTGCATATTTATTTTCATTTACCGCTCACGCCCGTAAAAATTTCGGGGGAAATCTCGCCTCAACCGCTCATGATGCAGGATATCTCGGACCGGTATGTGCAGTGAGGTGCACCGAAAAAAACGCCGACCGGACTCCGGTCTCTGGGAGCTGGTCAGACCTGTTGGCGGCAATGACCTGGCCGTCGTCATAATCCGGTCGTGCTCTCGGTCGGCGCCGTTCCGCGGCGGTGACCAGCTATCGCCCACGCCAGTTATTTACCGAGGGCTGGAATCGCCATAGCGGTTTGGGCACCACA